TCCCCTCCTCCTCCTCCTCCTCCGATTCTTCCTCCTTCTCCGTCCTCCTCCTCCTCCTCCTCCTCCTCCTCTTCCCCCTCCTCCTCCTCCTCCTCCTCCGACGACGACGACGACGACGACGACTCCTCTTCCATCCTCCCCCTCTCGGGGTCTGTGACAGCTTCCCCCGCCCTTTGTTATTCTGCATGCTCCCCGACTTCCCTGATCACCTCAACTCCCCTGAGCATCGTTTCTGGATGGGCTGGTGGGGATACGCGAAGCGTCAACAATTTCTTACCCCAAACCACCGACCGACACTCCCCTCCTCGCCCCCCCCCTTCGGCCCCGCACCCCCACCCAAAACCGACCGACATCCCCCTCCTGGCCCTCTTCCTCGCCCCCCCCCTTCGGCCCGGCACCCCCACCAACGACCGACCGACACCCCTTCCTGGCCCCGACATCCCCACCCCATGAAACCTCTTCCCTTGGGACCCCCCACCCCGTGATTTCTCGCCCCAAACCGACCGACGCCCCCCTCCTCGCCCCCTCCTCGCCCCCCTCTGCTCGGCCCGGCACCCCGGCACAAAACCGACCGACACCCCTCTCCTGGCCCTCCTCCTCGCCCCCTCCCTGCGGCCCAGCACCCCCACCCAAAGCCAACCGACGCCCCCCTCCTGGCCCCGACATCCTCACCCCATGAAACCTCTTCTCTTGGGATCCCCCACCCAAAACCGACCGACATCCCCCTCCTGGCCCTCTTCCTCGCCCCCCCCCTTCGGCCCGGCACCCCCGCCCAAAGCCGACCGACGCACCCACTCCTGGCCACGACATCCTCACCCCATGAAACCTCTTCTCTTGGGACCCCCCACCCCATGACTTTCTACCCCAAACCGACCGACACTCCCCCTCCTCGCCCCCCTCCTCGGCCCGGCACCCCCACCCAAAACTGACTGCATCCCCCTCCTGGCCCTCTTCCTCGCCCCCGCAAGACATGGATGTTTTTTGCCCTGGGGGGCTTCTTGGGGCCTCTTGGAGCCTGTTAGGGGCTTCTCGGGGCCTCCTGAGAGCCTCTCGGGGTGGAAGACTCGGATTTTCGGTTCGTGTCAACCTTCTTGGCTCCCTCTCGGGCCGTCTTGGGGCCCTCTCGGGCCACCTTGGGCGCCTCTGGTGCCGTCTTGGGACCCCCGTGGGCTGTCTTGTGACCGTCTTCGAGGCCTCTGGGGATGCCTTGTAGCGGAAATTGAAGCCTCTTGGGCCGTCGTGGAGCGTCAGGAAACTCAAAAGGCGAGAACTCGAAAATCGATCGAAAACCAAAAGGAAAACAAATTAGTTGTGCCTCCTGGGGCTCCTTGGGAGCCATCTTGGAGATCTCTTGGGGCGTCTTGGAGGCCTCTTGGACAGTCAGGGACCAATTCTGGGGTGATCTCGAGCGGTCATTGGTCATTTTCGTTGTCTGGAAACGCCATTTCCGGCAATCCAGGGCCGTCTTCGGGCGATTTTACAAGGCCCCCAGCGCCACGGCAGGGCCCCCAGGCACCCCGGTGCGAGGGCCCGTCCCGGGCCCCGCCTCGTGCCCGCGGCAGGGGGTGGGTGGGCCGTCTCCGCGCCCTCATGGGGGCCTGTTGGGGCGACCTTGGGTGTCTGAAATCCATCATTATCCCAGTGCGACCCTACCTAGGAGTTGGAGCATCTAGGAAAGCAACATCTACATCTACACCGACAGCTACATTTACATCTACACCTGCTTTGCACTGCAGGTCCGGCTTTGCGTTGCTTGTGGTGTGCTTTGCTGTTGCTGCTGGTGCTTTGCCTTTGCGCTGCTGCTATGCTATGCTATAATATGCTATGCAATGCTGCGCTATGATAAGATATGTTATGCTATGATTTGATATGAGTTGCTATGCTGCGCTATGCTATGCTATGCTAGGGTACGTTCGGCAGCGCTGTGTTATGCTAGGCTATGCTATGATATGCTATGCTGCACTGTGCTATGCTATCCTATGCTATGTTAGGCTGCGCTATGATATGCTATGATATGATATGCTGCGCTATGCTATGCTATGATAGGCGATGATATGAAATGATATGCTGCGATATGCTAGGCTATGCTCTGCTATGCTATGTTATGATATGCTGCGATATGCTATGCTATGCTATGATATGCTATGCTATATGCTGTGCTATGCTGCGCTGTGCTATGCCAAGCAATGCTATGCTATGCTATGATATGCTATGATATGCTATGTTATGCTATGCTATGCTATGCTGAGTTATGCTATGCGATGCTGTGCTTGGCTATGCTATGCTATGGTGTGCTAGTGCTGCGCTGCGCTAAGCTAAGGTAAGCTACGCTATGCTAAGCTAAGCTAAGCTAAGCTAGGCTAGGCTAGGCTAAGCTAAGCTAAGCTCAGCTAAGCTAAGCCTAGCTAAGCTAAGCTACGCTAAGCTACGCTAAGCTAAGCTAATATGAGATAAGCTAAGCTAAGCTAAGCTAAGTTAAACTAAGCTAAACTAAGCTAAGCTAAGCTAGGCTAAGCAAAACTAAGCTAAGCTAAGATGAGATAAACTAAGCTTAGGGGGGCGTAACTGGGGGAACCGCGGGGCTGATGCCGGGGGAACCGCCCGGGGCGTGGAACACTGCCCGGCCCTTTAAGTTTATCGAGTAAGAACCCTTCTAGGCAGAGCCTAGGTAGGGAAAAAAACCAAGGACAATCAATGATTTTGGCGTCCCTTTGGGCCGTGTTGGAAGCCTTGTGGGCCGTCCGGAGGCCATCTTGGGCGTGTTCGAACGATGCGTCCTCGTTTCGGGGCCTCTTGGGGGCCTCTTACAACCCTTTTCGTCCGTGTTGGGGCTTTCTTGGGCCGTCTGGGGGCGGCCCTGGGCTGTCTCGGCGCCCTCTTGGAAGCCTGTTTGGAAGATTTCTGGGTGTCCTGGACCGTCCTCCTTCACCGTCGGCGGCACTGACCGTAAGACTTCCTGGGAACACGATTTGTTGGGGTGTCGTTGGGCGTCTCCGGAGGCTTCGGGGCCTTGCGCGTTTCCGAGCGTGGCGGCAGGTAGCGCTGCTTGGGACTCTCGATATTTTATCCTGGCAAGCGTTTGGGGAACATGGCTTGGGGAGAGGGCAGCAACCCGAGAATCATGTTCCCGGGAAGCTTTCCGGGAACATGATTTGTTCGGCTCTCTTAAGAGGGGGGGCCTCGGAGGCTTACCGAGGGGCCCTTTTTGGCCTTGTCGGCAAGCCTATTGGAAACATGGTTGGGGCGGTGGGCGGAAGCCCAAGGAATCATGCTCCCCGAAAGCTCCTTAGGAAATATACGACTTACAGAGGTCTCTTGTTGGGGGCCCGCAGGGGGGCTTCCCTGGGGGCCCCTTGGGGGCTTATTGGGAACCTCTTGATGGCCTCCGGGGGCGTCCTAGAGCCTCTCATGCAGGAGACCTTGAAATGTCGCGCTCTTTGGGCCCTCTTGGGTCGCTCTTGGGGCTCTCTTAGGGCGCTCTCGAGGCCCTCTTGAATTATCTGGGGAGCCTCCTGAGACCTCTGGTCTTTCTTGGGAGCCTCTTCGGCCGTCTTAGAGCGATCTGAAGGGCCTCTGACGCCGTCCGGGACCGTGGGGAGGCGGAACATGCGAGAGCGCAAAAATGCGGGGCCCTTTGGAGGGGCCTCTGGAGGCGCTCTTGGGGCGTTTTGGCGGCGCCGTCGGCCGTCCTGAGGCACCTCTCCATCATCTCCACGTTCCTCGTCCTACACCCCCTTGGGAAGTACTGCAATTGTTTGATCAATTTCTTGCCCCAATCATAATGTTGCGTCGGCTGCGGCCGACGAAGAAAAAATCAAATCTCGCAGAGCCCCGTGCGAACATTGAAATTGAGGGGTGCTGGGCGACGAACCGCGCGCGAGAGTTGCATTTGTTTCGAAGGTTGTGGAATGCCTCAAAGCGGTAGAAGAAATTAGTCTGGGGGGACAGTTAAAAATAGTTATTCCCAACGCTGTGGTGCACAACTAGAAAATACAAGGAATGCGGGGCAAACTGGACCGCCGGGCACGTCCCCGCGACCGCCCTGGCGCTCTGCGTGCAAGGGCGGAATCCTGCACACCCCCTCTCGGCGTCAGGCCACGCCGGCCACGCCCTGCGAACTTGGGATTTTGGAAGCCACCAACATCAACCCATTCAGCCTCACACAACGAAAAACGGGTGACACGTGTCAACCCCCGAAGCCGCGCGAGAATACATATATATATATATATATATGTAAATCTGCGATGCTGGGAGCCAGCATAAGGCCATTGAGCAAACATAAAGAACGGGTGGCACGTGTCGCCCCCGAAACAGCGCGAGAGAAACCAATTGGAAATGTGGGCTTTTAGGATTGAGACTTCCATTTCCTGTCTACACAACAGGACACATGTTGATGGGGTTTGATGCCTCGGAAGGGCCATCAGTTTTGATAGCCTTGCCCCGCGGTCGAGGCGAGGGTGATGGAGGCCCTCGGGGGGCTCGCCGAAGGTCATCGGCTGTCTTTTTTTTTCCCCCCAGCCGAGGGCTGAAAAATCCTTGATGGCCCCTCTTGGGCTTTAAGCCCTGGTGGTATCGCGTGCAAGGCAACGCGCTAGAGGGCGACTGCACCCGTCCACTGCGATGCAATCCGCATCGGCATCAAGCAAAAAAGATGACGATGATGAGAAGGAAGAGGGCAAGGAGGGGGAGGAGAGGGGGGAGGGAACAGGGAGGGAGGAAGGAAGGGAGGGGGAGGAGAGGGGGCGAAGGGGGAAGGAGGAGGAGGAGGAGAGAAGGATAGGTAAAGCCCCCAACCCCCACGGCCGTTTTTCGCTACAACCTCCACCGCAGGATCTGGAGGGAGGGGCGATTCCACTGATCGTGTCGACTGCGCCTGTGCTGCATCGCCCTCGTCCTCCCCCTCCTCATCCGCATCGTTTTCCCCGCAGTCCCCCTCCTCCTCCCCCTCCGCCCTGGAGAGCCGCCGCGCGGGGGCGGCGGTCCAGGCGCCTGCAGCGCGCTCACGACGAGAGAACCCGCTGCGCCTCCGACCAGAGGCCCGCTGGCAGCTTCGTCACCGCCACCGCCCGCGCCTGCATCGTGTCCACAGCCTTCTGCACGTTCATCTTCTGCACCTCGGCGGAGGCGTTCTGGCCCTTCAGGGCCTGGGCGATCGATGCCACGCTCAGCGTCGCGCTGCCGATCGCGATGGTGTCGTCGAACTCCTGCAGCTCCCCGGCCCAGTACCCAGGCCCGATCTTGTAGTCTCTCAGCGCCTTCACGCACTCGGCCTTCTTCTCGATCATCGTCTCGTGCGCAGTCCTCAGCTTCGCGTGGGGGCCCAGCTGCTTGAAGAGCGTCTGCTTCGCGTGGTCCATGACGGCCTGAAGTCCGTCTGGTCGCCCTGGAAAGCTGCCAGCCAGCGGGTGCCGTCCGCCATGCCGCCGCGCATGTTCTTCAGGGCACTGTGGGCGTGCTTCCCCGAGCTCATCACCTCCGCCGCCGCCTGCTGGGAGTGCTGGCTCGCCAAGTCCTTCGCCGCCAGCTCCCACTTCTGCGTCTTCCCGCTGTGGCCCTCGTAGTCTGCGAGGCCGATCTCTTTGAGCTCATCGTCGACGCGCTTGGACTGGTCCGCTGGCAGGCGCGAGATGGCCGAGTCCAGCGTCTCGTACAAGCGCTGCAAATCGTCCTTGCTGGTGCCGTAATCGTTGATTGCCAACCCAAACCTGGCGTAGCATTTGGCGACCAAGAGGCGCTTCTTTACATCAGCCAACCTGTGGGACAACGCTGTGAAGACCACACCTGCCACAGGGGTGCAGTTGACGCAATCCACAATAGCCTCGGCGACGGCGCGGTGCTTCTCGGAAGTCGCGATCGCCACCTCGCAATCGCCGTGCAGCTGCAGGTCGATCATGATGTCCATGACGGGGCAAGACCCTATGAGTTGGACCGCCGCCTTGGCGGCCGCCTTGAGGTCATCCTCGGCCTGCAACTCCAAGCCCCTGTTCTCACACTGGAATTCCCTCAGCCTCTCCATGTTATTATCGTCGGGGGTCTGCAGGTAGGTCTTGATGAAGTTGCCGCATGCGCCCTGCTGGCGGGCAGCGCGGGCGTGCTCAATGTGAGCGCCAACATCCAGGTAGGACTGCGACATGGGGTCATCAGCGGATCCCTGCTCGGCCGCCAGTACCGCGGCGTACGCTCCCATGGTGGCCATCAGCTTCTCCGCCAGCTCGATGTCCAGTATGTCCGCGCTCGTCAGCATGATGCAGTTGGCCACCCTCTCTATCGCGAGCTGGAGGGACCCTTCTACTGATCGTGTCGACTGCGCCTTGCCACGGCACGTCTTCCTCCCGTGATGAGCTCGACTGCCTTTGTCATCGACTGAATGCCGACTGTGCTGAAGCCTGCCTCCACGAGCTCCGTCACAATCTGTGCCATATTGGGCCCTGCCTCTATGTCGGTGGACGCCGCCCTCCTGAAGGTCGCCTTGAACTGTGTCCAGGGCGGGTGCTGGTCCAACATCTCTGCGAGCGGGTGCCGTTCAGCGTCCTCGGTGGTCCCAGTGAGGAGCTCGATCATCACTTTCAGGTGGGGCTTGCACTCCACGAAGCTCACTGGGTCCTCGTTCGGCAAGTGGTTCAGCAGCATGCCTAAACCCTGGCACTGAAGGGAGAACTCCTGCACGTTGCTTGGATGGCTCTCATCCCGCGTGAATGCGACCGCCAGCGCCTCGCCGAAGAGCTGCAAGGTCTTCACTTTTCCCTCGTCCGTGAGCCTGGGCAGCACGATGACGTCCAAGAGGATCTCGCGCGAGAGGGAGATCTTCGCTGCACAATCGAGCGACATGCTCGAAAGGCGGGGCTGAGTGACAACGTAATCGTCTGGGCTGCTGGACCACGGGTGAATTGACTCAACCACGATCTCAACGTCGTCAACCTGATCCTTCACGTAGACTGTCAGCAGGCTGGACTGAAAGGATGTCGTTTTCAAGGTGTCTTCGCTTTTGAGCTCCTTCAGCTGCTCGGTGACTTGCGCCCAATCCATCTGAGTGATGTTGCTTGCGAGGCGGGTGGACGCCTCGACCTGCTCCCTGAACCTGTCGGCCATGACCTCAACGCTCGGGGTCGTAGGTTTGAAGCGCCTCAACCCGCACGCCTTGTCACCCAGCTGCTGGCCGTCCAGGAGCGACGAAATGACCAACTCATTCTTGTACTTCTCGAGGCGCTCCTTGTCCGCGCCCGCGGGCGCGCCCTGGCCGCTGCTGGCCGCCTTGCCGCCCGCGGATGCCACCGACGCGGCCGCGCTCTCACAGGGCGACCTCGACCGACCCCGCGAGCCAGCGTCGTTCGCCGCGGAGTCTGCCTGCGGGGACCCCACGCCGTCGAAGTCGAAGCGGCGGGCCCGCGCCGAGCTCGGGCCCTCACCGCGCAGAGATGCGGCGAGGGAGTCGTCGGCGGACGGCGGCGCGGCGGCGCCAGGGCCGGCCCCGCGCCCGTCAGGCGGCGCCGCGCCCCCCGCTCGAGGCTGCGCCGACGGCGCCCCGTGGACGAACGGCATGAGTGCAAGCGAGCTGGCACCGCTTCCGCCGTCACCGCCGCCGTAGTCCAGCGCGCCGTCGGCGATGGCCGTCAGGTGAGCATGCTCCTTGGCCTCGGGCGGCGGAGGAGCCGCCTTGGGGAGCAGTCCCCGCGTCTGAGCCTGGACCAAGGCCTTCTGCTGTAGAGTCGTCATTGTGGGGGCCTTCGCAAAGCCGCGCAGGATCGTCGCCTGGCCCTGGCGAAGCTTCGTGACCTCCCGCTTCAACGTCTCCTTGTCGGTGCCAGGCGAGCCCGACGTAGCCGCCAGCTTCAGCGTCGACATCTTGACCTCGGTGCGGGTGTAGCTCTTGATATCCGTGTAAGGCTTGCCAGAATGCTGCAACACGACGCCCGTCGTGTGGACCCCAGGCTGATTGCAGCTGTGCACCCTGATCTCGGCGGTCTCTATCATGAGAGGCGTGAGCCCCACTGCGCCACGGGGCGCGATCAGGGAGGTGAACTGCTGCGGCGTCAGCTGGATGGTGGTCTTGGCGATCTCCTGGCCGTAGTAGGTGTCGACCAGGACCGAGCCCTTCTCGCCCAGCGCCTGACTCACATTGTCCTCCAACTGCTGGTCGGCCTCGGCGCGCTTCTCGAAGTCCCCATTGAACTCGGGCTCCTCGTGGTACTTCTCGCAGACGTCAGGCCAAGCGAGATCCTCGGCGTAGTGCCGCTCGAACGTCTTCCAGCAGCCGTCGCGCCCGACCATGGCAGACTTGACGCGGCTGCCGCTCACGTGCCGCGTGCACTCTGTCTTGTCGACGGGCTCGTCGCAGCGCTGGCACATCCCCGCGTCCGAACCAGAGGCTCTCGCCTTCGGCTTGCCAACGCGCGGGGCCCTCTTGGGCGCGGCCCCCCCGTCGGCCCCCTTCAGTCTCTTGGACATCGCCGCGGCGGCTGGCGGTGCCCAGGGCAGGTCGGTTGCTGGCGGCCTGGAGGCGGCCACCGATCACACAATATAGCCTTGCGGCCAGAGGCTGCCCAAGATATCCGAGCCAAGGTGGCTATGTCGGTGGCGGGAGGTCAGGCGCCGAGGAGGGGGAGAGGGCACTCGCTTGCGTGACCAAGGCACTGGTGGGAGAGATCTGGTCTACTGCAGGAAATGCGCAGCCATGGTGTAAAACGCAATGCAAGCAGTGCAATATGGCCAACTGCAACACAATTCAACGCAACAGCCACTGAAACGACGCAAGGCAATGCAGAGCAAGAGCGCGCCCAACAAATGCAAGCAACGCAATGATGCCAATGGCTGTTGAACGCAAATGCATTTCCTGTCGCTCCACAGGTCAACAGCTCGTGTATGAACGGTAAATTGGCAAGGGCCCCGCAGAAAGACGCGGCGACGAAGGGCGCCCCGCGGGCGACTGCAAAGAGCTTCGGGCAGACCCATGCTAGTCAAGCCGAGTCCGATACAAGTGCCTCGTCCAAGAGAAATGCAGCCGCCCCGTGCGCCCGAGCGCGCGGTGGCCCCAGGGTCCGACACCTTTGAGAATACGACAGCGTGGAACGCCCCTGGGGGACAGGGCGCGTTGGGAACTTTGCTAAGTTTGTGAAGGCGCTATCTACGTTTGGGAGGGTCCTGTCTAGGTTCTGGGAGTGTTTGATCTACTTGTGTGGGGGGGGGGGTCCTACCTAAGTCTTGGAGGCCCCTATGTACTGTTGGGGGGGTCCTCCCTATTTGCTGCGAGCGATCTCTACTACTGTTGGGAGAGTCCTATATACTTATGGTCGGGTCCTATCTACTTTCTGACTAGGTATTATCCACTTTCGCGAAGGACCTATATGCTTGCGGGAGGCCCCCATCTGCTTTACAGGAAAAAGCCCTATCTACTTATTGAAGGTTCCTATCTACTGCTGCAAGGAACTCATGCAATTGTGTGTGTGGGGGGCTATCTACTCTTCGGGAGACCTGTTTACTGTTCGGAAAGTTTACCCACTTGCGGGACAGATCATAGCTACGTTGGGGAAGGTATTCTTTTCTTGTAGGAGAACCCCATGTACTCGTTGGACCGGTCCTATATACTTCTCGGGAGGTAATGGTTATTATTGTCGGGGGGTCCCACCAATTTCTTGGGAGGGCCGTGGCCGCTCCAGGAGGGCCATATCTATTTTTCAGGAAGGCCCTCTTTACTTGTTGGGATGCTCCTATCTACTCTGGAGACGGCCCTATCTGGTTATGGGAGGGCCGCATGCACGTGCTAGGAGAACCCTATCTGGATTTGAGAACATCCCATGTACTTGTTGGCAACCCCCTGTCTACTTTTGGAGGGTCCTATCTACTTGATGCGATGACCGACGTACTTTTGCGAGGACCCTATCTACTGGTTGGGAGAGCCCCACCTACTTGTTAGGAGGGTCCAACCTACTTTAGGGAGGGTCCTCTCTACTAGTGGGGAGGCCTTATCTACTCGTTCAGAGGGTCCTACCTATTCTTGGGGAGCCCTACCTAATGCTGGGGAAGTCCTACCTACTTGTTGCGAGGGTCCCATCTACTCTTGTGGGGGGCCCGTGCACTTGATGGGAGGGTCCCATGTACTTCTTGGGGGGGGGGGGGGGTTCTATCTAATTTTGGGGCGCCCTATTTAGTTAAAGGGGGGTCCGCTCTACTCGCTGGCAGGGTCCTATCTACTTTGGGAAGGCCCCCCCTTGCTTCTGGGAGAATCTTACCTAGTCGTTCAGAGGGTCCTATCTACTCGTTTGGGGGGGGGGCATATCTACTTCTGGGAGGGTCATATCTACTTGTTGGGAGGACCCCATGTATTGTTTTTGCTGAGGGGTTCCAGTCGACTCTTGGGAAGATCAGATCTACCTGTTGGGACGGTCCTTTTCTTCTGGGAGGGATAGCATCTACTTGTTGGGGCGGTCGAAGCCGCTCCGGGCGGGTCCTATCAACATTCGGGAAGATCCTATCGTCTTGTTGGGAGACCCCTTTCTACTGTGGAAAAGTCCTATTTACTCGGTGAGAAAGGCCCTATCTACTTTTGCATGGCCATATCTACATTCTATGATCGCCCTAACTAACTGTTGGGAAGGCTCTGTCTGCTGTTGGGAGGGTGTTATCTGGATGTTGCGGGGCCCCTCCTTTTTCGGGGCGAGGGTCCTATCTGCTTTGGAGAAGGCCCTATCTACTATTATTACGGCCCTTTTTATGTTTTGGTGTCCCCCTGACTCTTCGGTAAGCCTATCTATTGTTTTTTGGGTCCTCTCTACTTGTTGGGATGGTCCTCTTTACTTGTGGGGTGGTACTATCTACTTTTTGGGGGGTCTCACCTACGTGCCGGGAGGGCCCTATCCACTTCCCTGCGTGATCCGCCCACTCATTGGGAGGGCCCCATTTCCTTGCACGAGGTGCAGAAGTACTAGTCGGGAGGGCCCTGTCTACAAGTGGTGGTGGGAAGGTTTATTTACTTCTGGTAAGGGTCCTATCTACTCGCTGGAGGTGGTCTTATCTACTTGCGGAAGGGGTCCTATATACTTGTAGGATGGTCCTATCTACGTTTGGGATGGTATTATCTACTAGTTGGGAGGGTCCCAATTATTGGCTGGGGGGTCCGGCCTACTTTTGGGAGGTCCCATCTACTGTTGGCAAGGCCCTATCTACTTTCTGGAAGGGCATTATCTACTTGTTCGGTGAATTCCATCTACTTTTGGGAGGGCCCTATCTACGCGTTGGGAGGGTCCAGTATACTTCTGGGATGGTCCTCTCCACTTGAGGACACTGCCACCTTCTTTTGGGAGCCGACATCGAAGTCTAGAGGGGGCCCAATGAGATCCAATGGGGAACGCGATGACAATGCGGTCGGGACTCGGCATCGCGCCGAGACACGCGCAAGACTTTTAAGTTCCCCTGGGGAACATACATGGAAACTCAAAGGGGTGCCCATGGACAAACGCAGATGGCCAACTCCCTCCCCGTCCCCCCCGCTGGGCATTCAGGTGACGCAGACGGGTAAGGGCCGCGGCAAACTGCATCGGATGTCGGAATGGACGCGCGAAGGCTATGCGGCGCAAAGATTGCAGATCGGATGGGTGCCCGAAGGACCTCGCGCGGCGCGAGGAATGGGCTACGGTGTACTCACTTAGAGGCTCAAGTACACAAGGGCGGTGTCTAACATGGAAGACACGAGGGACACCGCGCTTTCATATTAGAGCTCGCGTGGTACCATGCATGAGCTGGCGCTGGGTTTGACTTGCCCGAGTTCGACAAATAAGCCAATGCGCGGCGCAATGGAAGTGCCCAGGCGGGGGGACTTCGGGTGCCGACCCGAATTAGACGCGACAGCGGGTGGACATAACTGGGGGGCACTCGGCCCAAGTAGCCGCGCACGTTGCATTTGGCAAGGGCCAGGCGCGTGCCTCGGGAGGGGGCTGCCCCAGCTGTCGCGCGGGCCCATGGCTGGCGAGTCAAGATCTACTTGGGCCTCGTCGACATTCAACTAAATTCGACGCGACCTGAAACGGTGATGGATGCGGTCTAAAAATGCAGCACGGTGGGGGGGCGCCCTGCGGGCGCGCGCAGAAGTGTCGGCAGGGCGGCGCGGGGGGCCCAGAGCGGGGCGGGAACTCGGGGGCAGCGCTTTCGGCCCGAGATGCAGACCTAGCGAGAGGTTGGGTCGGCGCCCAGGCGGGGCTGAGAGATGCTTCGGCGAAACACAACAAACGCCTCGATGGATGGGGCACGGGGCCATGGGAAACGCGCCGCCAACCAAGATCAGCCGCTTGCCGCCCCAGTTCCACCAACGCGCGACTGCCCCTGTCAGCGCGGGCAGCGGCTGGCTAAGAAAATCGCGCGCGTTGTCCTGAGCGCAACGACTTGCCCTTCATCCAACGCGCTGGCACGCGCCATGCCAGCGAGCTCGGCGCTGGGGCGGGGGGCGGGCCAACGTCGGAGACACGCGCTTCTTCCATGGGAAAGCCTTGGATGGGCTGGATGGGCTGCCAGCAGAAGTCTCGCGGCGGGGTTGGGCCCAAGCGGCAAGAGAACAGCGGGCTGGCACCCAGCGCCTGGCATCGTCGCGCCCCCCCCCGCCCCCCCTGGGCGGCCGATGCGCGAGTCCAATGGGCTAGCTCGCGGCGCCCAGCTGCAGGGCGATCGGTGGGAGCGCGGGAGGGGGGTGAGCGAGTCGAAAACGTGCTGGTAAGCTTAGGTATGTGTTACGCTTCAAGCGTTGCCATATCCCAGGCTTTGGCTCATATCGCATGAGCAAGAGAGCGAGACGAAGCATGGGATCTGGGGTGCAAGATAGAAGGGGCATCTTCAATGGAAAAGGTATTTTCCGATCTCAGATACCAGTCGTGCGCCTCGGTGAGGCACAGTCATATATTTGGCCGGGCCCGGCTTGAGCCAGGCACGGCAGCGGTGCATGCTCGAAATATACCTCGCCTTTAACCTTCTCCGTTTAAAGTCGGAGGGGGAGGAGGCGAGCAGGCACCGCACTTCTACATTACGCGGAAAAAACAGTGCTAGGCAACAGCGGCTGCCTACAAGGCAAGGGCGCGCGAGTAGCCTCGCTACCGGCGAGTTTCCTCGCTACTCGAGCGCACCTGCATGCGGGTTTCCCCGCTAGCTCGGGAGGCAGGACCGTCCTGAGACGACCTGCCCGCCCTATACGGAGTATGTTTCTTCAGCTCGTGCTTGAAGGATTGCTGGCCGGCCATTACTTGTAGGAGCAACGCGCGGTCAATGCTACCTTTGGTATGACCATCGGCAGTCATATCCCGCGTGTCACACCATTGAACGCTTTCAACGATTCCGCGCTCCATCATCTGGCGGATCCAGCTAATGTGCCCAAGCAGAGTACATTCTGTGGGCTTCTTCAGATCTTTGCTAGACAAAGACTTGAAGACAGACTCGGCATCAATAGTCAGAGTGACTTTGATACATAG